TATATATATATATATATATATATATATATATATGTATATATGTATACACGCGCGAGACTACCATTCAAACCAATCAACAATTTGTGGCAGGCCTCATGTTTCTAGGTTGTGGAAGCAGTAGGAAGGTAACATCCGCCCCGCCCTCCCCCACCCAACCGGTCAGCGCCATGAAAAACGGCGAATCACGACCATGGTTCATATTACCAGAACAGACTCCGCGACACACAAATGATCCCATTCGAAATATGCAGAGATACGCCTTTTTCGGACACACTTACCCTGCCCACCAGTACGTGCCCAGCCGTGTATGGGGGCCCTGAGCAGACGCGATGCGGCGGTCCAGCAGCCGCACCGCAATCCGCGCGGGGCTGCGTGGGCGCGACTGGGATTACTTCAGAGCGCAACACTGCCACAACCGCGCGCTGGAGCGGACACATGCGTCCCGATGGTGCTGATGCGATGATGGGAAGCCTTCACGAGCTCGACTCGGGCTGCGAGAAAATACAGCCTGTCGGCGTTCTGGGAGTGCTCGCCGCTTCAGGGAAGTTTGCGAAATGGCAGGGACCGCATTCTTTCCGGAGCAAGGCCAAGAAAATGGCGCCCTTCCACGGTCCGCTGTGACCCCGAAGTTCAAGACCGGACGCACTGTTACACACGCGCCGTTGGGAGCACGTGTGAGTAACTCCGAAATGGGCGTTTCAGTTTAAGCCGCCCCAAACCATTTCTTCTCCACTCCCGGCAACCAACCAAGGCCTCCCACGTCCCAAGAGAGCAATACCGTGTTTAGTCTCCCCAGCCGGATAGCGCGCGTCCAGAATTGGCCAGCATCGCAGACAACCGCAACGCCTTTAAAATCGCAACACGCGTAAGCGATTTCACATGTTGCCGAGAACAATGGCCTCGTCGAACAGAACCGACGGCGGCTTTCTGGCGACTCGCGCCCTGTTTCCGAGAGAAAGGGAGAGAGGGAGAAACAGAGCCGGCCGCGCTGGCGGGCGCCGCTGATGGCCAACGTACGACGACAGCACCACCGGCCGACGAGAACGGCGACACCCGATCCAACGACGCCCCTTGAAATATAAATGCCTGAAGAACGGCACCGGCCAGCGGCGGCGCCGGAGACGGCGGTGTAAGTGGCGCACGTGCCGGCCGGTGGAGTCCGCCGCTGACAAACCGATCGAGCGGACGAGCGGGCGCCGGCGGCGGCGCGCTCGTATAGCCGGCCCTGATCTAATCAGGCGCCGTCGAACGACGCCACCCGGCGGAGGCGACCAGGTGACGCGGCCGTGATGTACTCGGCTGATTTCGGCGCTCCCCAGCGGCCGCGTCTGCGTGTGTTTGAGCGTCAAGACACGCGCCGATCGCCGCCCCCGCCGCCGGCCGGCATACCAGAGCGGCGCGCCGGGAGAGCCCGCGCACACGGCCGGCTGTGCCCAGCGGGGTCTCCCAGCGGGCGGACTGAACTGGCAGCAAATAGCCGCAGTCGGACCAGCCGTCGCGATGGCGCGATGGCCGTACTGCTGATGATTTGGGTTGAAGGAAGGTCACCCCTGCGAATATTTTGTACTCATACTCAGTGTTCGGTAATTTGAGGTGTGCAAATGCGACAACGGGAGAATCGGGGGCATGATCAGATCAGGTAAACAGCAGTTTACAACAAATAGAGCAACACAACAGAAAGTTTGTTGAGGGGGGGGGGGCGAGGGCTGGGCGAAAGCTCGAGGTTCCGGTTCATGACGCAGTCACTAGATAAAACTTACCTAAGGACTTTTACCTTGTTCACAACATATTCGTTTACATCATGGATGGAAAAATTGTCAGGAGCATCGTGTTCGTCTGGTGCGTTAGCATGTACACAACGTCTCAGCCCGTTAACCTTCGGTCGCTGTCAGGCGTTGGCGTGCAGTGAATGAGAATAACTTCAGTCCCAACACTTTTTTCATCCCTGATGCTTATAAATCGTCTCAATCCTGCCGCAAAACGACATTCCTTTATAGCCTTGGTTCCAGCCCTTATCGTGTTATCCATTGCAAACATCTATGCATCAAGCGCCCGGACCTACCGGCCGCTTCTCAGGGGCGCTGCTGTTGCGGACCGAAGCCATCAGCGGCCTGTCACTGGTGGGTATGACCACAGGGCAGGGGAGTTATCGCCGGGACGTCTGTTGAGCCTCATCCCTCCCCGGCCTTATCAGAGCCACCCACCCACCCCATACGGTCATCTGATACATAGGGCGCAGGCCAATAACCATGGAAAGGCCTTCAAGGATACCGGACATCATAAGCCAGCAGACTCCCAAGAACTCAATCAGCTTTCCGCACTATAGCCTACCAGTGGCACTAGTCCATCGCCCGCCCAGCTGTCGCGTGGGTGGAAGAAATGCACACCTTAGAGTTACTACACTCCCAGTGTTCTGATTGTTAGCCTTTCGCACGCTTCGCAACCGCACCCGCAAAGGAAAATTTGCTTCCTTCCACTAACATGGTAGCACGGCATACGTCAATACTTTACCTGACGTAGGTGTCCATGGCGGCCTGGAGCAGCGCCTCCTCCGGGTCGACGCCGCGTGCCGCCAGCTGACTGACGAGGTCGGCACAGCGGAGCAGGTCCAGCAAGCCGGGCCGGCTGGCGCCTGCAACCGCCGCCACACAGACTCAGGTGGGTGACGGCGAGCCGGAGCCGCAGTCCGGCGCGCATACGGCCAGCGGACAGCAGCTAACGGCGTCAGGTGCACGGCACAGCGGAGACAGCCGCTGACGGCGTCAGGTACACGGCACAGCGGAGACAGTCGCTAACGGCGTCAGGTACACGGCACGGCGGAGACAGTCGCTAACGGCGTCAGGTACACGGCACAGCGGAGACAGCCGCTGACGGCGTCAGGTGCACGGCACAGCGGAGACAGCCGCTGACAGCGTCAGGTACACGGCACAGCGGAGACAATCGCTAACGGCGTCAGGTACACGGCACAGCGGAGACAGCCGCTGACGGCGTCAGGTACACGGCACGGCGGAGACAGTCGCTAACGGCGTCAGGTACACGGCACAGCGGAGACAGCCGCTAACGGCGTCAGGTACACGGCACAGCGGAGACAGCCGCTAACGGCGTCAGGTACACGGCACAGCGGAGACAGCCGCTAACGGCGTCAGGTGCACGGCATAGCAGACACCGTGGCTAACACGTCAGGTGCACGGCAAAGCGGAGACACAGCAGATAACGGCATCAGGTACACGGTACAGCGGGAACGGCGGAGACGCAGCGTCCAGCGGCGTCAGCTGCACAGCACAGCGGAGACACAGCGGCGAACGACATCAGATGCACGTGTAACAGTGGCTCAGCTCCAGTGTTCTGGTCCGGAACACAGCGGGCGACAGCTCCCTGCTTCGCGGACCCGGCACAGCGCGGAGACACCGCCGTTCACGGCCTCCGGTGCGCGACACACAGCAGGCACAGCGCGGTGCAGCACGCGTCCGTGTGCGACAACAGTGTGCGTTTTCCGAAGTTCTGACAGCGCTAGGGCGCGCGCAACGCCGAGTGTTGTCTAAACGAGCCAATTCAGGGATTTTAGAGCGGCACCAGGATGGGAAAGTCTCGTTAACCTCTCCTCCCAAGCGAGCGATTACGGAGAGCTATTGCATCCATTTCTATGGGCAACACCATTTTCCAAATGCATCCCCGAGCAACGCCCGTTCAACATGGAAGATCACGCTGATCATAATACCCAGACACCGCCGCATCAAAAGCACGCAAGCCCATCCCGCTCCGGAGACAAACGCCCACACAAAAACAGACAGTTTGTCTTGGGCGATTTGGATACAGGCTAACTCGCTGAAACCGGCAATCCTCAACAGCAGTACGGGACGGAACTTGCCGGCAAGTTTTCGCCAAGTTCGTTGCTGCCTTCATGCTTCATTACCCTCAAATTATCCCTGGGCTGCTGACTGGTGCTTGATAACTCCACCGGAATTCTTACCTCGCAATTTCTGTAACCAGCCGTTTAGTGCTCTGCCACGTGGAAATGCTCAACCAAAAAGCGTTCCTTCATCCTGAACAAACAAGGTACCAAGCCTGGACTAGCGAGGGGAGGGGGGGGGGGGGGAATGGGGAGAGTGGCATTGTTCGACGGGGAGTCATGAGCAGGGCATCTCACTTCACTGGTGTGATCCATTTCATTGTTTTTTCGAGCAATTCTCGACTATGTATCTGAACCATTTGGACTGAGAAATGATCCGGATTCTGAGCGTTACGCACTGTCATGGCAGCATGACCGGCCGAGCTCTGAAACTCCTTACGTCCGACCTGACACTGGTGACGCGATTGTCAACAATGTGACAATGTAACAGTGGTGACCAGGCTAGTCACTGAGCTGGGCAGTCATGGCCTGGATTCAACGGAGGTGTGAGCAATTCAGTGACATTCAAAGATGAACGAAACCTTTGTTTGTGTGCATTGTGTGACGAAGTTCGCCTCTCCACGTGGTGTTTCCTCAGTGTCAAATATATATATCCTCAGTGTCAAATATAAATATATAGTCAAGGACGCACGTCACTGGCGCTCGTACCAGCTCCAAAACATATAAGAAAGTAAGTCAACAGACAGTGCGAGCACGTCTACTTTTGACATTACTGCACTTTGCCTCCGCCGCGCGCTTAAACGCGCAATTCGCGTCCAATCTGACATACAACCCGCTCCGGGTGAATGTCCCGTCCGGCCTTGAAGCAGCACTTAGTAGCTCCGCTCGCCATTTCACCCACATTGCAAGTCCAGGCAAGTCAGCGCCGCTGGCACCCAGACGCCGCTGGTCTCTGCGTCGAGCAGTCAGGGGGCGCCGCAGATGGCCGCTGGTCCCTGCGCCGAGCAGTCAGGGGGCGCCGCAGATGGCCGCTGGTCCCTGCGCCGAGCAGTCAGGGGGCGCCGCAGATGGCCGCTGGTCCCTGCGCCGAGCAGTCAGGGAGCGTCGCAGATGGCCGCTGGTCCCTGCGCCGAGCAGTCAGGCCGAGCAGTCAGAGGGCGCCACAGATGGCCGCTAGCCCCTGCGCCGAGCAGTCAGGGGGCGCCACAGATGGCCGCTGGTCCCTGCGCTGAGCAGTCAGGGAGCGCCGCAGATGGCCGCTGGTCCCTGCGCCGAGCAGTCAGGCCGAGCAGTCAGAGGGCGCCACAGATGGCCGCTAGCCCCTGCGTCGAGCAGTCAGAGGGCGCCACAGATGGCCGCTAGCCCCTGCGCCGAGCAGTCAGGGGGCGCCACAGATGGCCGCTGGTCCCTGCGCTGAGCAGTCAGGGAGCGCCGCAGATGGCCGCTGGTCCCTGTGCCGAGCAGTCAGGGAGCGTCGCAGATGGCCGGCCGGACAGGCCGCTGCCGACGGACCGTCATCACCACACCGACCGCGGCGCAGCGACTGAAGGCCGGCCTGCCGAACCGGCCGGCGCTCCCTGACGGGGTAATTATACCGGCTGTCGCGGTGTCCGGACAGCATTCAAGGCTCGGGGCTACGGATCTGGGTGACAGGCCGCCGGAAGAACAGCCACCGACGCTCGGAGCTGGACCAGCCGGAGGAGGTCAGAGGTGCAGAGGCCGCCCGAAGAACAGCCACCGACACTCAGAGCTGGACCAGCCGGAGGAGGTCAGAGGTGCAGAGGCCGCCCGAAGAACAGCCAGCGACGCTCGAAGCTGGACCAGCCGGAGGAGGTCAGAGGTGCAGAGGCCGCCGGAAGAACAGCCAGCGACGCTCGGAGCTGGACCAGCCGGAGGAGGTCAGAGGTGCGGAGGCCGCCCGAAGAACAGCCAGCGACGCTCGGAGCTGGACCAGCCGGAGGAGGTCAGAGGTGCAGAGGCCGCCGGAAGAGCAGCCACCGACGCTCGGAGCTGGACCAGCCGGAGGAGGTCAGAGATGCAGAGGCCGCCGGAAAGAACAGCCAGCGACGCTCGGAGCTGGACCAGCCGGGGGAGGTAAGACCAGGTGGACCAGCTGGAGGCGGTCCAAGGTTGGGTTGGACAGACCATGCATAGACGGCCAGGGGTGGGACAGGTACAGACGGTCAGCTGTGAACCAGGCACAGGTCAGGGGTGGACCAGGTACAGAGTCATAGGTGGACCAGGGACGGTCAGGCGTGAACCAGGTACAGACGGTGAGGTGGACTAGGCACCAACGGTCGGAGGCGGACCAGGTACAGGTCAGAGGTGGATCAGCTACAGACGGTCGGCTACATGCAGTCGGAGGTGGAACAACCGAAGACGGTAAGAGCTGGACGTGCCACGGACAGATGAGTGGCAGCGCTACAACAGACGCTGGGTGGAACAGCCAAGGACGACAGCTGACGAACCGACTACACATGGCCAGAGGTGAGCCAGCAGCAGACTGTCAGAGTAGCACCGGACCATGCCCCCCGCCATCGCGACAATCGACACCAGCGGCTGCGACGCCCAGCCACAGCGAGCCACTTTCCAATAAGTGAGTCCCCGCCACTGCTGAAGGCGTGCACGTCAGCTGACACAGCCGCCGGAGAGGCGGACCAGTCGTCCGTCAGGCGGCCAGGTGCGGTCGCCGACAGCCCGTGCGGCGGCCTCGGCCAGGCGAAGCCTCGGCCGGAGGCCTCGCGGCTTCGGGCGCCGGCGCCGGGGCGGGATCAATGACACGTCACACAGCGCGCGCCATCCGAACCGACAGCGGCGATAACGCCGACGAAATAATGGCGCGCGGCGCGGCATTCCGCCTGAGTGTGACGACGGGGCGAACGGAACAACTTCGCCCCGCCGGGGGATCGTAACTCTAACTCAGCTCTGCCACGGCGCCCCCGCCACGCCCCAGCCCTCGCGCGTCCAGTACCGGGGCTCACCGTCTACAGATCTGCTATCACAAATGCTGACCAAAGCGATTCATACTTCGGTCGGACAAGCATTTAGGCGTCAGCCAAACGTCAGCGCAAATCCGTGAAGCCATCGCTTAAGTGCATTAGGAGTTATTTGGATGGGCCATCGGGTCCGACAGCTGTCGCGCTGCCCGCCTGCCCTGCCAAAGCTCCCCGGCGCGTCTCTGGCGTCGGCATCGTCACTCACCGGCCGTCTCCATTCGGACGGCGGCGTGGAGCCGGCCGAGCGTGGCCTGCAGCCTTGGTTCTGTCAGGTGGCAGCGCGCCAGCAGCGCCGCCAGGTCCAGCTCACTCAGCCCGCCGCCCTCCTCCGGGCCCAGCATGTAGATCTCGACGCCGCGGTTCCGCATCGCCCTACGAGAGGTGGGAGAGGTCAGACGGGCGACGAGACGGTCACCAGAGCAGAACATGGGACAGGTCAGACGGGCGACGAGACGGTCACCAGGGCAGAACATAGGACAGGTCAGACGGGCGACGAGACGGCCACCAGGGAGAGGGTGGCAAGGATCAGACGGGCGGTGAGACGGTCACCAGGGATGGAGGTAGGAGAGGTCAGACGGGCGACGAGACGGTCACCAGAGCAGAACATGGGACAGGTCAGACGGGCGACGAGACGGTCACCAGGGCAGAACATAGGACAGGTCAGACGGGCGACGAGACGGCCACCAGGGAGAGGGTGGCAAGGATCAGACGGGCGGTGAGACGGTCACCAGGGATGGAGGTGGGAGAGGTCAGATGAGCGGTGAGACGGTCACCAGGCTTGGAGGTGGGAGAGGTCAGACGGGCGGTGAGGCGGTCACCAGGGATGGAGGTGGGAGAGGTCAGATGAGCGGTGAGACGGTCACCAGGCTTGGAGGTGGGAGAGGTCAGACGAGCGGTGAGACGGTCACCAGGGATGGAGGTGGGAGAGGTCACACGAGCGGTGAGACGGTCACCAGGGATGGAGGTGGGAGAGGACAGATGAGCGGTGAAACGGCCACCAGGCTTGGAGGTGGGAGAGGTCAGATGAGCGGTGAGACGGTCACCAGGTTGGAGGTGGGAGAGGTCAGACGGGCGGTGAGGCGGTCACCAGGGATGGAGGTGGGAGAGGTCAGATGAGCGGTGAGACGGTCACCAGGCTTGGAGGTGGGAGAGGTCAGACGGGCGGTGAGGCGGTCACCAGGGATGGAGGTGGGAGAGGTCACACGAGCGGTGAGACGGTCACCAGGGATGGAGGTGGGAGAGGTCAGATGAGCGGTGAGACGGTCACCAGGGTTGGAGGTGGGAGAGGTCAGACGGGCGGTGAGGCGGTCACCAGGGATGGAGGTGGGAGAGGTCAGATGAGCGGTGAAACGGCCACCAGGCTTGGAGGTGGGAGAGGTCAGATGAGCGGTGAGACGGTCACCAGGGTTGGAGGTGGGAGAGGTCAGACGAGCGCTAACACGGTCACCAGGGTTGGAGGTGGGAGAGGTAAGACCCGCGGTGACACGGTCACCAGGGCGAGAGGAGAGAGAGGTCAGACGAGCAGCGCCACAACGACAAACGGCCGGCGGGACGTCACACGGCGTTGTTGGCGTCTGCTGATGCAGGCTGGCGGTCAGGCGAACTACAAGGTGTTCAAACAAAACCGCGTCAAACGCAGCTTAGCCTTTGCCTTTCTGTGACTGTGGACAATCATTCGGCTTGTACTTGACGCCGGAAGAGCGCAGGCAATGCTTGAAATGAATGGTTGAGCGAACAAAGCAGAACAATCGCATGTACAGTTAGGACCAGTTGGTGTTTTTGCGCCATAAACACACCGGCTCGGCTTAGCACGGATTCAAATTCCAATGCTGCCCACTCTGGAAGCCTGGAATGCATTTTCGAAGTACACAGGCAGTACATCGTTCACTCCTCTTTGCAACATTTACACAGCCAATGAATGTCAAGGAATGAATACGAATACATATAAATGGGATAAAGCGCTTTGTGCCGCAAAGGGCACCGAGGGCGGCCATCATTTCAGTGAGAACCATAACAAAATCAGCTAATGGCATACCAATCAATCCGGTCCTAACACATAGTGCATAGACTTGCCTTGAAAAGAAACATCTGACCCGCTCTGTGTAATTTCCGCATCGGCAACGTATGCGATGCACCTCCTTCCGTCGCCACACACGACTAAGCGCTTGAAGCCGGCGGGTCGCCACAGCGGGCCATGCCCTCCCCCGGTCCCCGAGCCCGCTTCCCGGGCGCCCTCCCCCGGTCCCCGAGCCCGCTTCCCGGGTACGCTCCCCCGGTCCCCGAGCCCGCTTCCCGGGTACGCTCCCCCGGTCCCCGAGCCCGCTTCCCGGGTACGCTCCCCCGGTCCCCGAGCCCGCTTCCCGGGTACGCTCCCCCGGTCCCCGAGCCCGCTTCCCGGGCGCCCTCCCCCGGTCCCCGAGCCCGCTTCCCGGGTGCCCTCCCCCGGTCCCCGAGCCCGCTTCCCGGACGCCCTCCCCCGGTCCCCGAGCCCGCTTCCCGGGTACGCTCCCCCGGTCCCCGAGCCCGCTTCCCGGGTGCCCTCCCCCGGTCCCCGAGCCCGCTTCCCGGACGCCCTCCCCCGGTCCCCGAGCCCGCTTCCCGGGTACGCTCCCCCGGTCCCCGAGCCCGCTTCCCGGGTAAGCCCCCCGACACAAGCAGCGCCGATTAGCATAGTGCGCCGCCAGTGGCGCCGTCTTCGGCCCAGCCGGCGGCCGCCTGCCGGAGCGGCAGCCGGGTCTGTTTTCCGTTGGCGTCACCTAATTGGGCGCCGCTGTCACCGAGCCGGCCCCCGGGAGCGGCGGCGGCAGCGGCGGTGGTGATGGTGGCGGGCCGCACCGCCGCCGTGGGCGGTGGAGAGCGCGCCGGCCGGCCCGCCATCCGTCACATCACGCAGCATCGGCTGTTGGGGCGCGCCGCCGCCGATGACGCCGCCGCACGGCCACCGGCACGCGGCCGCGCCCGGTTGACCGAGACGCCTCCCGAGGCGGCTCGAAGACGACGCGCTGGGGCGGCGCACGCGCGGCAGGCGGCGGCGAGGAGCCCGCCGACGCGCTGCCAGTCCGTGACGGCACTGGGCCCGGCGGAGAGCCGCGCCGAATGTCTACCGTTGCCGACACCACGGCCGTGTTCGCCACGTCACTCGTCAGTGCCGACGCTCCGGCACTAGAGCTCCGTCGCTCAGGCGACTGTGGCCGCACATAAACAGGCGGTCCACGGAAGCACCGGCCGCTCACGGGGGCGCCGCAGCTGAGCGCGCGGCCGGGCGCGCGCGGCAGCAGCCAACAAATGCTCTACCGCACATTCCCAACGCATGGATGCAACCTTCCGGAGCTATTATTTACCGCATGAATGATGGCCCCTAAATCAAAATACAGACGGTATTGCGCGATAAATTCGATGGTTGGAAGCTATCATGATGTGAAGTCAGGGTTATTATACGGCAACAATTAACAGTCGTTCGAGAATTTCGGCTAACAAACCGCCTTTTGCTTGCACAGACTCCAATTGTCATGTCATCACTAGCCTGGGAACTTCCTTCAGCGTTCATCAAAGTTTGTATGACGCCACAACTCTGCCTACAGTTGGAAAGAGAGCTGCCAAACCCACACACACACACACTAGCCGTCACACGTGCCGGATTAAGAAATACACACAAACGTGAACAAACAAGAACATCCGATAAACTTTAACGTCCAACACTCAGTTGGGCCAGTATTTTCAGTCACTTATAACGCAAAAGGCGAACTAAGTCAACTGGCATGCACAGCCGGCGCCGCTGAGCCCAAACAAACATCAACTATCAGAGTGATGTGTGTTTGTAGCTCCAGCCGATAAGGGCCAACCAACACACACTCTGTCTTAAGTAGGTGGTGATGTGAAATGTAGCCACCCATTTAAACACGTTGATAAATATGTATGTAAGAACGCGATGATTGCTGTGCAGGTAATCAAAGGCAGTGCCCTAAAACTTATGACAATAGAGCTTTGCGAGCGCGTGTGATTTCTTCAAAATAGGTGACGATCAGGCGGGCCAGAAAACTTCCGCAACTTTCCGTTTCACGTTGCGAAAGAAAACGCTCTACAGCGCAGACTAGCGCCAAACGACGGACCCAGCCCCGTGTGCAGTGGGCCTTCGGGTCCCGTCGCCATACCACCATGGCATGTACTGCGCCGTAAAGTCGGCACCAATGCCGTCTATTGACCTATTGCTACTGACCTCAACATAACACACGTTCATGACGATCCATAAAGCCCGCTATAGTGAGGTCAAAGCGAGCAGGACAAAATGCAGCGTAGGCAAGATCATACACCGAAAAACCGTACCATAGGAAAGAGCGGCGATGTCATGACGTTCCTAATCGCAACGTAACAATCCTCCCTCGGCCTTGCAATCCGATCAAACGCTGAGTGATTCTATTTGTAGCACCCTTTGCACAGCTTCTCGCCAGTCGCCATCAGCAGAGCAGCACACCGCTCTTGCCGACGACAGCGGACGACCTCATCAGCGAGGGCGTCTGACGATGATTGCCGGTGATGCGTGGTGCTATGGCATAACTGTACCGATGATGATGGCGTAACGGTAATTATGACAGCATGGTAGATGAGAGCGTTATTTCTGACGCAATTATTCACGCGTCGATGCTGGAGTTAGACCTCATTTGGTTCTATATTTGGAGAGGAAATGGGCATATTTGGGAAAAGGGTTATTACCACACTTGCAACAACCAGAACGTATAAGTTCATAATCCAACGCATGCCCCATATGGTGCTACTGCTGCCGAGCTTGAGCGCAGCCGCCGCTATCCCTACCGCAGTTACCGCACGGCAGATGGGCGATATTTACCCCAGCTAGCGTTGAGCGGTGTCCGTCAGCTCCAGCGGGGCCCAGCTCCTGACGTCCACAAGGGTGCAACCCGAGCGCTGGCGGCCGGCCGGCCCGCACCTCACTGACCTGGAGATCTCGCCGTGGCGCGGGTCCATGGCCAGCAGCAGCCGGAAGTGAGGGTGCGGCCGGACGGTGGGTACCAGGCCATCGATCACGCCCCGCTCGCTCAGCTCCAGCACGCCGCCCGGCTCCAGCAGCGCATTCAGCCGGTCCAGCACCGAGGCCGGGCAGAAGTTGACGTTGTCCACCAGCAGCCAGTCGCCGGCCCGCAGAGCCTGGAGTCAGAGTCACCGCCGGTCACAGTCACACCAGCAGCCGGTCGCTGGCCCGCAGAGCCTGGAGTCAGTGTCACCGCCGGTCACGGTCACACCAGCAGCCAGTCGCCGGCCCGCACAGTCACACCAGCAGCCGGTCGCTGGCCCGCAGAGCCTGGAGTCACAGTCGCCGCCGGTCACAGTCACACCAGCAGCCGGTCGCCGGCCCGCAGTCACACCAGCAGCCAGTCGCCGGCCCGCAGAGCCTGAATTCAGTGTCACCGCCGGTCACAGTCACACCAGCAGCCAGTCGCCGGCCCGCAGTCACACCAGCAGCCAGTCGCCGGCCCGCAGAGCCTGAAGCCATAGTCACCGCCGGTCACAGTCACACCGGCAGCCAGTCGCCGGCCCGCAGAGCCTGAAGCCATAGTCACCGCCGGTCACAGTCACACCAGCAGCCAGTCGCCGGCCCGCAGAGCCTGGAGTCAGTGTCACCGCCGGTCACAGTCACACCAACGGCCAGTCGCCGGCCCGCAGAGCCTGGAGTCACAGTCACCGCCGGTCACAGTCACACCAACAGCCAGTCGCCGGCCCGCACGGTCACACCAGCAGCCGGTCGCCGGCCCGCAGAGCCTGGAGTCAGTGTCACCGCCGGTCACAGTCACACCAGCAGCCAGTCGCCGGCCCGCACAGTCACACCAGCAGCCGGTCGCCGGCCCGCAGAGCCTGGAGTCAGTGTCACCGCCGGTCACAGTCACACCAGCAGCCAGTCGCCGGCCCGCACAGTTACACCAGCAGCCGGTCGCTGGCCCGCAGAGCCTGGAGTCACAGTCACTGCCAGTCACGGTCACACCAGCAGCCAGTCGCCGGCCCGCACAGTCACACCAGCAGCCGGTTGCTGGCCCGCAGAGCCTGGAGTCACAGTCACTGCCGGTCACGGTCACACCAGCAGCCAGTCGCCGGCCCGCACAGTCACACCAGCAGCCAGTCGCCGGCCCGCACAGTCACACCAGCAGCCGGTTGCTGACTCGCAGAACCTGGAGTCACAGTCACTGCCGGCCACAGGCGCGCCATCAGCAGCATCAATTCACTAACCTTGCCAAATGCAGCGACAGAGGCGGCGTAAACAACGGATGACTTGGCCAAGCCAAGCCCTACGGCAATCTAGCTTGGCGGCCAGATATAACAACCCCCGAACACCATCAGCACAGGACCTCCACGTACTAACACACCAACTCCTCGTGTCCAGCCAACACAGCTCCGGGGCCCTAGCTCACTTAGTTCCGGAGCCCCAGCTCACACAGATCCCCAGCTCAGTCAACCCCCAGGGTCCCAGATCACACAGTCCCCGTGGTCCCTGCACACTCAACCCCCAAATCATTGCTCACACAGCCCCGGGGTCCCAGCTCACTTAGCCACGGAGTCCCAGCTCACTCAGCCCCTGAGTCCCAGCTCACTCACCCTCGGGGTCCCAGCACAATTAGTCTTGGGGTCCCAGGTCACTCCGCCTCCGGAAGCTCAGCTCACTCAGCCGAGGAGTCCTAGCTCACTCCGCCCTGGAATCCCTGCTTCCTCAGCCCGCGGGGTCCCAGCACTGCTTGCTCGAAGCAACAGGCCGAGCAAAACAGACGGCGGCAATCGCCCAAGCCATACCGTAAAGCGGCCGTTTTTACAGCGCGGTGGCCGTTCGGACGAGACTCCGGCGGGGGAACATTGGGACCGGCAATACGACTGGACGAGGCAAACACAGCCCGCAACACAGCGAAAACAGGCCGACAGCGCAGTCGACAGCCGGCTCTGAAAGCGGCGCGGCGCGGGACCGCTGCGACAAACAGCGCAGTCAACAGCCGGCTCTGAACGCGGCGCGGTGCGGGACCGCTGCGACAAATAGCGCGTGAGAAATCGATCAACCATGAGAGAAAACACGCCCGGCGTCACTTACACGGAGTGTCGAGCGATGGGCTCTGGCCGCGGAAGCCACACACTGGGAGCGCCAGGGACGATAATTAATGGCGGCAGGCACGCTGCAGGCCGCCATCTCAAAATGAATGCGCGGAAAAGCCGGAGCGTTGAGAGCCGCACAAGCCGGCCGAAAAACAGCGCGACCACAGTGCTATTCGACAGATCTGAGCCACAACATCCTGAGCCTCCAAGGTCTTCCGAACGGTTGCGTCAGTCGGCACGTCACACCACAGTGTCCGGCAGACGAAGCCGCCACTAACTTTCGCCGAGAACACTTTAATAAATCAGTCAATTGCCGGCCGAACTGGATTTCCCCCGACACCACAAACGGAACAACAGCGCCGATCGTCTCCACGGGCGAGCGGCGCGCGCCGGCCGGCCGGCCGCCTTTGCGGGGCCGGCGGACCAACTGGACCGACCCGACCCGGACATGCGCCGGCGCCCCAGCCGGAGGTGAAATGCTGATGTGACGAGCGGGGCCAGCTGCATGCTGAACATTTCGGGCGGACATGGACGCAGGTCGCTGTCGCTTGGGTCAGATAAGAGTTTGTCGTGGAAACGGCGTGGGGTGTGTGAACCTCAACAAGCGGCCTTTTAACTGGTACAAAGCAACGACACGTAAATAATGCAACACACGACTCCTACATGATAACTGAGGTCAGAGTTCGATAGGGTGAAGCGAAGCAGATAGAACGACGCCAGCTCTATGATAATTTACATAACGCGACTTACGATACAAACTATTAAACAAAACCTCGACAATCCCATGGCTGCATCTTTCAAGACAAGACCACAAACAATAAAAGATGGGCCACGGGGAGGGCCTGCCTACGAAAAAGTTGTTTCCAAAGAGAGGTGTATTACCAACTTACATCTCAACAAAATGGGTCAAGGTCAAACAACACACTTGTAATGAAATCTGCTAATCAGAGATAACTTTTTAGTCACTGGTGTTGGGCGGCGGCCAGTTACCAGACACAGTGCTGGCACAGCGCTGTCCAGCTCGACAATTTACTGCCACAGGGGCTCTTGCGTGTGGAGGCGTGTTTGTGACAGGCGCGCCGGCTCCGGGGCCAAGTCCGAGCCGTCGGCGCGAGGCATGCCGATCCCAGCGGTCGTTCCCGGGACCGGGACCGCTGCAGGCTCCGCCCACACGCCTCCCCCCCCCCCCCACCCCACCCCACTCCATCCCCACCCACACCGATCACACCACCCTCGCAGAGGCCACTGTCGGCTGGGCAGGCTCACCGCCGTGTGTAAACAGCACGCCCGGCCACCTGACCAGCTAACATAAGTTATTTCTGAGGAAGTTTCTTGTCATGCTTTACAGAGCACAGTCTATCCATGACACAGGAACCGGCGTACATTACGCATAGCCGTGACTCGGCGTCGCTTACAAAGAGCGATGCCATCCATAAAGTGGTGTGCGTAGTGGACGGTCGTCAATCAGCGCCGCAGCTCCTCAGGCGCCGGCTGGCTGATGGCTGTCCTGCAGCTCGCGCCGTTCCTGATCGCCACGCACAGCACACCGGGTCATGCTGGCGGCCGGCGGCGGAGGAACTTGCTGGGTCGATCGGCGTGGGACGCATTCCAAACGGGCCGCCAACTCCCGCCGCACGTCCAACTGGCGCACGGGCCGTGAGCGGAGGCGGCGAACTGTCCGTGCCCGGTCTGTCCGTCCAACTGGCACACGGGCCGTGAGCGGAGGCGGCGAACTGTCCGTGCCCGGTCTGTCCGTGCCCGGTCTGTCCGTGCCCGGTCTGTCCGTGCCCGGTCCGTCCGTGCCCGGTCTGTCCGTGCCTGGTCTGTCCGTGCCCGGTCTGTCCGTGCCCGGTGGGGGCGCGGGCAGCAGGGAAACATTACCAATGTAGCGGACGGAACAGAACGTCTTTCCATACATTTATTATGTGGCCGCTGATAAGCCAGAGGGAAGTTAAACGCCTAGGAAACGGTCTGTCTAGCATCTGCTCTCCCTCAGGTTTCGCTGAAATGAATTAGTAATTTTCCATCACAGGTAGCTCAGCCACAACTGATGTTCGAGCAAAAGTTCAGGCGCTCGCACAGCTTTTACACCGCGCGTGGGCGAGGCACGTGCACTGTGCAGGCCTCTCACTGGCGGGTCAATGAGCCCATCGGACGAGTCAATGAGCCCGTCAGCGGGGCAGTCATCAGACCCGGTCAGATGAGGTACACGGGATGAATTTTGGTCTAGACCGGAGGTGCAACCAGCAAGGGCGTGGTCAGGGCTCAGAGGGAAGGCCGAACGATGCGACCATGCCTGGCCCGGCGCTTGCATATCCCCCATCCCCCTCCCACTTGACCTACTGAACGAACACGGTCCGTGCATAAGGCCTCGTGCCGGGGCTTCAGCCGAACACGCCAGCACGGCTGTCCCCTCAGATGGTCGCTCTGCCCAGCCGCGGCGTGGGGCCGCATCCCCAGGGCACCGCCGGCAGGAAATGACACGTCCGTCCCGTCGAGCACCGTTGCCTCCACCGGCCGCTGAGCGACAGCCGAAACAAAGGTAGGCCGCCGCGGCTCAGGTGCTCCCCGACGACCCCCCCCCCTCCCCTCCCCCCCCCGGGCGCGCACTGCACACATATCTCACGCCCAGACGCTGGCCACTGCCATACCGCTCAGAAATGGAGGGGCTCGGCCGCGCCGGTATTTGCGTCCTGCCACATAGACAAGTCCATTAGGTTATTTACCCACCCGGGGCCCCAAGACTGGTTTACCAGGCGGCCGGCTGTCCCAGCCGCAGCTGGGGCGCCACCTGGCGCCCCGCAGGGTGGCGGACCAGGGGAGCTGGACGGTCCCCGTGAGGCGCGGCAGGAGCCGGCAAGGACTCGCGGCCACCAGCCACGCCTCTGAGAAAGATCCTCTAGATATACCATTGCGGCCACGCGGAGCGCGCCTGCGTGTCATGACTACGTAAAATGGAGCCCGCCGCTCACCGCTGACCGGGAGCCTCCCCGTACTCGGCTGTGAAGAGCCGCAACGCACGGCCTTGGTGCAGGCAGATGGAACTGCTCATCTGACACGTCGAGAGAAAAAAATAATACAACAGATCTTTTAATGTCCATGCGAAAAATCCAAACGATCTTAATGAATCGCATCGCTAATTATCCCCGGCCGGCATGCCGGCCGCATGTTTTTCACTTTCCGCATCACATCAATACGGAGGGGGAGGGTGGTGGTAAAGGGGGGGGGGGGGGCTGATCAGATGAGGGTGCCAGCGGCGCGCCCATGGGCGGACAACGGCGTCCGGCCACGCCCACGAGCAGCGGCGCGGCGGCACCACTGGCCACGTGGCCAGGCCGCTGGGAAATACGCCAATAACCTAATGACACGTTACACATAACAACACAGGCGGCGGACAGAAAAAAACATCATGCAACTGGCAGCGCGCGAATGAGCGTGCCGGTGTGAGGGACGCCGAACGCCAGCGCACGCCGGAGGGCAGCGGGCCGCCGTCAGCGGGACCGGACTCTGCCGCCGGTCTCGGCGCCGCGCCGGTAAATGACCTGAGCAAACAAACGTCCCATCCGGGGCCGACTGGCGGAGCGCCGGCCCGAGCCGGGACAGCCTCGCCGGCACCACCACAAAAACGCCGCGCGCCCGCCGCCGTGGACGCAGGATCAATGGGCGATCCACGCGGTGCGGAGGAGCCGGAGAAGCCGGAGGAGCCGGAGCCGACGAGAGCGGGCGGCACGGGACGAGCCGCCCGCGGCCCGGTGTGATCGGCCGGTGGCTGGGGCGCCACCGCCAGTCGGCAGCGGCGTGCCCGGCGCCGGCGCGACCTTCGAGGACCAGACGATAGTCTACGAGCTGCGATCAGCCAGTGTCCGTTGCTGCGGGGAAACTACGGCGGTCTCAACGGGGCGGCCTGGTGCACCTCTCATTGGCCCTGACTGCGATCGGTCCGGTCGCAGACGCCCAGCCAGCTCCGT